GACACCCAAAAGTATGAAAAAAAAAATTTTACCACATGAAATATACATTTTCCTACACACAAAGAGAAGGATACATGCACAATAGTAGAGTACATGCACAGTATATATTGTGCATGTACTACTCTACTAAATGAAGAATAAATGACACTTACCTTTATTGAAGATGCAGCAATGACTGATGAGACACTGTGTCCTGGGAGTGCCTTTTCCTCCTGAGTACTGTAGGTCCTGTTTGACATTTTCTTCCAGAACATGCCTTATCACACTGTGTATGCCACTACAATTCTTAAATCTCTCAAACCAACCTTTGCTGGCTTTAAATTCACCAATATGAGCACTAGTTCCAGGCATTTTTCCCTGTTCACCTTGGTGTTAGTCGACTGGTGTGGGTTGCATCCTGGGAGACAAGATTAAGGACCCCAATGGAAATAAGTTAGACAGTCTTCGATGACCACTGATTTTTTTGGTTATCCTGGGTGGCTAACCTCTGGGGTTAATTGTTTCTTGGTATTCTCAATAAGCCACACCAACAACGGTGCTACAGCAGCAGCAGCAGCAGCAGCAGCAGCTGACAGTGCTACAGCAGCAGCTGACAGTGCTACAGCAGCAGCTGACAGTGCTACAGCAGCAGCTGACAGTGCTACAGCAGCAGCTGACAGTGCTACAGCAGCAGCTGACAGTGCTACAGCAGCAGCTGACAGTGCTACAGCAGCAGCTGACAGTGCTACAGCAGCAGCAGACGGTGCTACAGCAGCAGCAGACGGTACTACAGCAGCAGCAGCAGCTGACGGTGGTACAGCAGCAGCAGCAGCTGACGGTGCTACAGCAGCAGCAGCAGCAGCTGACAGTGCAGCAGCAGCAGCAGCTGACAGTGCAGCAGCAGCAGCAGCTGACAGTGCTACAGCAGCAGCAGACGGTGCTACAGCAGCAGCAGCAGCTGACGGTTTAGTGCTTCCCCCTTGATTATAATAATAATCCGATTGTATGCTTGGATGTTACCGCGGAGGCTGGCTTGTAAACAATGCCACCGGCGGAACATGTGAGGCTGGCTCAGGCCACACATTAGACGCGTCTCGGACGAATAGCGCTGAGCGGGTTTTTTAGCAGTATGCGAGGCAAAATCTTAGCGATAAAATGTATCGGTATGCGGATTTAACGTTATGTGATGCCAACGGTATGCGGGGGTCCACTGTACTCTACTATTCGAGGAAAGTGATAGAGATCGTGAGTTTAGTGGATTTGACACCAATGGGGGCCAGTAATATTCAAGGAAGTAGTGAAAATATCGACGATAACCCAGATGACCCCCAGCCCATCACCTCTGGGGTAGCGACACCTGTCCTAGGGCCAAGCACCTCTGGGGTAGCCAGTGTGGCCACATCAGACCCTAGGCCAAGCACTTCTGGGGTGGCCAGTGTGGCTACAGAAGACCCTGGGCCAAGCACCTCTGGAGTGGCAAGTGTTACCCATAGGCAACTTCGCAAGAGGAAACTATCATTTTCCCGGTGTTTTAGTAGTGATAGTGAAAGTGATGTAAGTGATGATGAGATTCATTTTATGCCAATTGAGGATTCGTCTAGTGATAGTGACGTTCATTATTCACCAGTGAAACGTACTTTTAGGCGTCGTTATCTACGTTCAGGCAGTGTGCCATATGCAATCCCCAAGGGTCATGGCAGGTCACGATCCAAAACCCCAGCCACTGATAGTGAAAGTGATCACGAAGGGGAGTATGCGGGGATGGAGGAAGTAGTGGTGGGTGGCATGGTGCCTGGACCACATGGCGCAGTGGGTGGACAGACAAAGGACTGCCCGGCACCCCCTCAACCATGTGCTGCCTCCACTCCTCTCCCTCCTCCTCCTGCCCCCCTCGCCCCATGCCACAGGTCCACCCTGCACCACGTGATTGTGAGTGGAACTGGACACAAAGTATATTCGTGCCACAGCCTTGTGATTTTGATGCTAGTGGAAGTGGTATCCAGCCAGAATGTCCCAGTACAGAGTTAGACTATTTCCAGTTGTACTTTGACGAGCCTATAATGAACTTGATAGTAACTCAGACAAACATTTATTACCAATATGTCATGAACAACACAACAGAGGTTGGAGAATCATCACGGCTGCACAGGTGGAAAGACACAACAGTGGCTGAAATGTATTTATTCCTTGCCACTGTCATGCTTATGCCACATACCTATCAGAACAATATACGTAATTACTGGTCTACAGACCACTTCATCAGTACTCCAGTTTTCCGTGACCTCCTTCCCTGCAACAGATTCACTCTGTTGCTACGAATGTTGCACTTCGCAGACAGAAATGACCTTCTATACAAAATCCGGGAAGTGTTTATGTATTTGAAGCAGAAATTCAGTGTATACTTTTATCCCTTCAAGAACATTGTTGTTGATGAGTCCTTGATTCTGTTCAAGGGACGCCTGTCATTCAAGCAATATATACCGAGCAAACGTAATCGCTTTGGTATAAAACTTTTTGTTATGTGTGACTGTGAGAGTGGTCTTGTGTTGGATGTAATTGTATACACAGGGAAAAACACACTCGATGATGACAGAAGGATGCTGGGCATTTCCGGTGATGTTGTTCGCAGGATGATGGAACCATACCTTGGCAAGGGCCATACATTGTACACAGACAACTGGTATACAAGCCCTATGCTTGCTGATTTCCTACGTGTGAACAATACTGATATATGTGGAACAGTGAGAAGGAATAGGAAACATATGCCAAGGTTCACTGGAGGCAGTGTTGAAGGTGAAGTGCAAGCGTTTCATGCTAATGACATCATGGCACTGACGTGGCATGACAAACGCGACGTGACATTGCTATCAACCATCCACAGAAACGAGATGGTACAAACAGACAGACTGAGCAAGTTCAACAACAAACCTATTGTGAAGCCACTTGCTGTCGTGGACTATACGAACAACATGTGACTAGTTGACAAGTGTGGCATGATGATAGGGTTTGTTGACTGTGTGCGTAGGAGTTGCAAGTGGTATATAAAACTGTTTTTTCACCTTGTAGACATTGCAGTGCTCAATGCATTCAATATGTACGAAGTAAAGACTGGAAAACGACAACGTTTTGCAGATTTCTCTCTGAATCTCGTCAAACAGATAGCAAGAAAGTATGGTACCACACCTGTACCTTCCCTTCAACAGCGACCTGTCACACCACAACCTGTCCCCCAACCACAGCCAGTGGGGGAAGTGCCAGACCGAATCACTCCTAACTGTCACTATCTGGTACCAATACCACCTACCCAAAAGAAGAAGAATGCCCAGAAAAAGTGTATTGTGTGTGCTACCACCAAAAAAACGACCCCAACAGCGGAAGGACACATGATTCATGTGTCACCAGTGTGGGGTGGCACTCTGTATGAATCCATGCTTCATGGAGTATCATACAATTGTGGAGTTCTAGAAACATAAGTGGGACATGTAAATACTTGTATATAGTTGTAGATAATAATGTGTGATTCAGCCAGGTGTGCAAAATCACCTGTCAGTGTGTACATGTGTGTTTATAACAATATGATAAAAATTTCTTATGTAATATTGGTGTATAAACAAAAATTGGCATTAATATCAAATGACTTACTATGAAACATAATTATCATATCATGAAAACCAAGAAAATGAAAAAAAAAAAATGGAAGAAAACGGTAAATATGTTGAATTTCTGCAAGTAGCAGTGCTCCATGTTGCCGTCAGGTGATCGCCAAGTGCCAACTTCGCGGCCTCATACCTCAGTAAGTACTGACCCTAAAAAATTTTTTTATGCTAAAACACTTTAAAAAATGTGCTCTTTTTTCTATATAAAAAAAATATTTTTTTTTTTTTTCAAAATATTCGGGGCGCTGCACGAGTGAACGTATATATACGTTTGGACCGTTTAAGGGTTAATATGGCACACAGTGAGTGCACACACCCATTCTCTCATGTCCAGGCGACTCAGGCTTATCATGGCAATGTGAATGTATGACAAAAAAAACGTATATATACGTTTGGGGCACTAGCGGAAAAAACGTATATATACGTTTGGACCGTTTACGGGTTAAACAAAAGTGAAATGGCCTACAAAAGCAAACCAAAAGCTGTAGAATATTCAAAAAGTTTAAAAGAAATATTAAAGAGCCCTTCCCAAATTTTATGAAACTGTTCCACTCTCTTTCCATACACTCATAACTTTAAAAATAAAACCTAAACCAGTTGTTCCCAAATTTTCCATAAGTGGGTCAAACTTATCTTTTTTTTTTTTTTAAAAGTCAGCAGTCTCACACCTAGGCAGGGTGACCCAAAAAGAAAGAAAATCCCCAAAAAGAAAATACTTTTATCATCATTCAACACTTTCACCTCACTCGCACATAATCAATGTCTTTGCAGGAGTGCTCAGATATGACAATTTAGAAGTCCCTCCGAACTGTCAATATCCCAAACCCCTCCTTTAAAGTGCAGGCATTGTATTTCCCATTTCCAGGACTCAAGTCCGGCTAACCGGTTTCCCTAAATCCCTTCACTAAATATTGCCCTGCTCACACTCCAACAGCTCGTCAGGTCCCAAAAACTATTCGTCTCCATTCACTTCTATCTAATATGCTCACACACTCTTGCTTAATAACTTTGCCCTCCATTATTATTATTATTATTATATATGCAAGTCAACCCTTCTAATTATTTTTTTTAAGTCTAGCCAACTCATAAAAAATAGTTAATTTATGCAGAGAATTTATTCTTTATAGCCTTTTCTTCTGTCCATAATTTTTTTAACAAGTATCTTTATCAATACAGCTAGGTCTCAATTAGTGCAAATTTGAATAGTGTGAACTTCGATTCAGTGCAAAATTAATAAACGCTATTTCCAAAAAATTCTTCATTATTTGCACCAATCGAGACCTCGCTGCATGTGCAGAAATCTTGGTAATGTTACCAACTAATTCCCAAACTATTTCACATGGTTATGACAAACAATCAGCTAACCTGTCTCCATCTGCCAAACATAGACTGATCCGTCGTGTGTGGCCACCATCAAGAAGTCGTGCTCAGGACGCCATTTGATGCTGAGCACGGGATAAAGATGCTTGGATGCTAGCAGAACTAGCTTGCGCTCCTTGATGCTTAGCAGTGCCACACTGTGGTCTTCAGAGACACTACAGATGCAGTTTTGAATGCGAGGCTGCAATATAACTACAATGAACATCTTCATCATACATACAATAGGGAAATGCCTAAATTTGTTGTTTGTATACTCTTAATGTCATTACATACAAGCAAATGATGGTTATTGCTATTGTAGTCTTAAGTTAGGCTTAAGCTTGCTCAAAATAATCTGCATAACTATAGGCTTTCTGCATTACAACTCAATGTCACCCATCTCTGTACATCACCCATCTCTGTACATCACCCATCTCTGTACATCACCCATCTCTGTACATCACCCATCTCTGTACATCACCCATCTCTGTACATCACCCATCTCTGTACATCACCCATCTCTGTACATCACCCATCTCTGTACATCACCCATCTCTGTACATCACCCATCTCTGTACATCACCCATCTCTGTACATCACCCATCTCTGTACATCACCCATCTCTGTACATCACCCATCTCTGTACATCACCCATCTCTGTACATCACCCATCTCTGTACATCACCCATCTCTGTACATCACCCATCTCTGTACATCACCCATCTCTGTACATCACCCATCTCTGTACATCACCCATCTCTGTACAAATATTGTATCATGCTGAAATAAATTTACTATAATTATTATTACTGAAAGAGGATAATGTGGAAGCTCTAACAAGAGGTTAGGGATTCATGAAGAACTGTAATAGAACTTTGTTTCACAGCCCCTTTCGTTAGTCATATAAAAGTTTTTTTTTTTTTATTATTATCACATTGGCCGATTCCCACCAAGGCAGGGTGGCCCGAAAAAGAAAAACTTTCACCATCATTCACTCCATCACTGTCTTGCCAGAAGGGTGCTTTACACTACAGTTTTTAAACTGCAACATTAACACCCCTCCTTCAGAGTGCAGGCACTGTACTTCCCATCTCCAGGACTCAAGTCCGGCCTGCCGGTTTCCCTGAACCCCTTCATAAATGTTACTTTGCTCACACTCCAACAGCACGTCAAGTATTAAAAATCATTTGTCTCCATTCACTCCTATCAAACACGCTCACGCATGCCAGCTGGAAAGTCCAAGCCCCTCGCCACACAAAACCTCCTTTACCCCTCCCTCAACCTTTCCTAGGCCGACCCCTACCCCGCCTTCCTTCCACTACAGACTGATACACTCTTGAAGTTATTCTGTTTCGCTCCATTCTCTCCACATGTCCGAACCACCTCAACAACCCTTCCTCAGCCCTCTGGACAACAGTTTTGGTAATCCCGCACCTCCTCCTAACTTCCAAACTACGAATTCTCTGCATTATATTCACACCACACATTGCTCTCAGACATGACATCTCCACTGCCTCCAGCCTTCTCCTCGCTGCAACATTCATCACCCATGCTTCACACCCATATAAGAGCATTGGTAAAACTATACTATATAAAAGTACCCCCTTTTTATGGCATATAAAGCATGCCTTCCCCCACAACCCCCACCCCCCAAAAAAATCCTTGAAAATTAGCCTGCACCTTATATGCTCAAGGACAGTTTTCAGGTTACACTCAGCAGTTGTTTACTAGCATTACATTACAAATGCTTGGAAACACCGTGCCAACAAGCAGCCCACTCTCGTGTGCCTCATATGCCGGAAAATAAGGTAAATATAAAATTCCCCACTACTCACTGTACAAGTAGGTGGGGGCACCAGAAGCTGTAAAACTTGACCTGCTTGGACTACAAATCTGTGCACCAGGTTGCCTGTGTACATGTCCCAAACATTGATGGAGAAATCAATGCCTCCAGATACGAGGTGGGCCATGTCATAGCGGGAACTCTCACCATGGGGATAGAGGAGACAGTTAACACGACCCTGGTGGCCACGTAAGACCATTGGCTGAGCCCAGTCTGTAAACACATTCACTGTAATTAGTATCAGTATACAAATGGTAATATTTCATTTTATTAACACACAGGTCATTTCCTACCAAGATAGGGTGACCCAAAAAAGAAAAACTTTCATCATCATTCACTCCATACACTCCATACACTTGCACTACAGTTATAAAACTGCAACATTAACACCCCTCCTTCAGAGTGCAGACACTGTAATTCCCATCTCCAGGACTCAAGTCCAGCCTGCTGGTTTCCCTGAATTCCTTCATGAAAGTTACCTTGCTCACGCTCCAAGAGCATGTCAAGTGCTAATGGTAATAATGTTGGTAGAATTGCTGACAATATGTTAGGTAAAAGGACACAAGTGCAACTAGTGTGACATTTCACTGTGGTAACGTTTTGCTCTCCAGGAGCTTTGTTAAGGTGTAATGACTTAACAAAGCTCCTCGAGAGTGAAATGCTGCCACAATAAAATGTCACACTAGTTGCACTTGTGTCCTTTTACCTAACAGTATACAAATATCTCGCACATAGGAAAGAGGAGCTTATGATGACGTTTTGGTCTGACTTGGACCATTTACAGTCACACTTTATAAATAGCCGAAGTCAGACCGAAACACTGTCATAAGTTTCTCTCTCCTATGTGCGGGTTATCTGTGTATTGTTCCAGTCATGGTACTGTGCCTTTTTCTTTAATTAATATATTAATAAAAAACATTCATACTGCTGATTATGTCTACACCCAAAAATATTTGAGCCTGGAAACACATAGGTAAATTATCTATCAGGTGACAAAGCTTTTCATATTGAAGAAATGCCCTAGAAGACAACACTGATACAGCACCTGATCTTTTAGTATATGATGTCTGTCCTGTATAAATAAACCAAGGAATGGATGGTGTTTCAACTCATGGTGACCGAGTCTTAAAACTCCAGTGTTATTATGACTTTGTGAGTCTGTCCTGCATGTTACATCAGTAGGTGAATAAAAAGGGACAAATAGAGAGAAAACTGCACTGGACATTTAAGTGTGCCTTTTAACTGGGTAAATCACTGGGGCCTTTTCTACAAAAGAAATGCACAAGCACTAGGAATTTCTAGCTCCAAGCTACACCTGAGTGGTAACCTTCACTATCTTTAAAGAAATTATTAATGAAAGAATTTGTGAACAACTTAGTGCCAGTATACTACAAGATGGTTTGCTTGGTCCACTGATGTGTCACATTCATGACCTATATCATGTCACCTCTGAATTCTATACCTATACAGATAACTGCCTTTTGATACAGTTTTACTTGTTCAAGAAAGGAAATGTCTACTGCTCTCAGGGACCAAGCAAAGGCAGATTGCATTTGCTTCTCAGAAAACACAAATGGCCATGCATGTCATAAGAGACATCTGGAATGCCCAGAGGAAGGGGCTAGTAACCCTTGTATTCTGAGCACCTCTGCAAAAACAGTGATAATGTGTGAGTGTGGTGAAAGTGTTGAAAGATGATGAAAGTATTTTCTTTTTGGGGATTTTCTTTCTTTTTTGGGTCACCCTGCCTCGGTGGGAGACGGCCGACTTGTTGAAAAAAAAAAATGAAAAACTTTCATTTCTCCTTTAACCCTTTGAGGGTCCGTCCCGTTGATCTACGGCTTTACGTTCAGGGTCCAAACCGTAGATCTACGTCATGAGCTCAGCTCACTCTGATAAACTGTGAGTGGTACATTTGGGCCTAGATATGAGAGAATACATCTATGTGGTATGTGTGCACCACATAAAACAGATCCTGCAGCATGCTGTGTATAATGAGAGAAAAAAACTGAAATCATGATTTTTCGATTAAAACAGCGACTTTGCAGTGTTTTTTCGTATGTTTTTTATAGTTCTATTTGCGATTTCTTGGTCTCATTTGATAGAATGGAAGACATATTACAGAAATAGAGATGACTTTGAATGGTTTTAGCACTGGAAATGGCTTGAAACTGAGCTCAAAGTAGCAGAAATGTTAAATTTTTGCCGATATTCAAGAGTAAACAAACGACCTCACACATCTAATACACGTCGGCTGGTGGGTCTAATATACATTCACAAATATGGTGATGATATTTATACAATTATTACAATATTGCATAACAGTAAATCTTCTATTTTTTGGTGTGAATAAAAATTCATTATGTGAATAAAAAATCAAAATGGAATTTATTTGTAAAGCCTCAAAATGTAACTAATGAACAGAAGAAATGTTAGTTTAGTTCCAAGAATACCTACATTGTTTATTCTGGACCCTATTTTGAAATTGGAATATTTTGAACTTTGTGTTAAATTGGCCAAATTAACAATTTCCGATCACTTTAATTTGTAGTTGAAACAGTTGACTTGGCGATTTCTTGTGCTCAATCGATAGAATAGAAGTAATACTAGTGAAATAGCTAAGAATTTGGTTGACTGGAATAATGTAATTGGCCTAAAATGGGAGTCAAAGTCGGCAAAATCGCCGATTCGTAAATATCGCTGACACATCAAAATTCGCGAGAGCATAATTTCGTCAATTTTCCATCAAATTTCATACTTTTTGTTTTATTACCTTCACAAAAAGATTCTCTACTATTTCATAAGAAAAAATAACAAATTTTTTTTTTGAAAATTCTTGGACACTGGGGCACCACTTCAGATTTGGGCCTTGGACCCTGAAGGGGTTAACGGGTTACCCTCGGTGGGAGACAGGTGGTGGGTTGACAAAAAACAAAAACACAAATGATGATTGTCTCTAGAGAGAATGATATTTCTGTGCAGGTGGGGGTGTTAAGAATGTATTAAGTGTCCAGTGATGAGATCAAAATCTTAAGGAGGCTGACCATAATGATTATGAATAATTATGTGTATGTGCATCTGATACATGCTCAGCACAAGAAGCTGCAAAGCTTCTTATTAGGAACAAATGTACTCTCACATAAGAAAGAAGGAACACTGCAACAGGTCTACTGACCCATGTGGAGCAGGTCCATGTCCCCCCCTTCCCAGATTAGACTTCGATTATGCCCCTGACTTAGATTGCTTGTTACTCTCGTTGTTTAATGAACTTTTAAATAGGATTGTAAAAGAGGTGACCCTTAGTGTTGGGAAGAGGTGTGGGCTTAATAAGGAATTTGATATGAAGACCGAGGTGTCATATCTCTGCTGATAAGTGTTTTTGGAAGATTCAGAGAAGTTGCAAAGGATAGGAGAGGAAGTACTGAGGGTATAAGTGGAACCTGGGTGTTAACACAGAAAAGAAAAGGGCATTGAGAGAAACAAAACATCTAGGCATCAAACTGGATGAAGAGAATATGCAGAAAGTTAATGAATCAGGAGACGGGTATATAAAAAATGAGCTGAATCACAAAACTGATGGGAAAAAATTATTCGAGGTTATGGTTGAAATTTTAATGAAATTTTAATGAAAATAAGAAAAAATTTTGGAGTGAGTTAAACAAGTTAAGAAAGCCTAGGGAAAGTATGGATTTGTCAGTTAAAAACAAAGTAGGGGAGTTAGTAGATGGGGGTGGGGTATTTGGTAGATGGCGAGAAATTTTTTTTGGGGGGAAAAATTTTTTTTGGGGGGCAAAAAAAAAAAAATTTTTTAAAAATTTTTTTAAAAAGGGGGGGGAAAAATTTTAAAATTTGGAAAACGGGGTTGCCAAAGAAAAAAAATTTTTTTTAAAAAAACTTTAAAAAAAAAAAAAATTTTTTTCCCCCAAATTTTTTAAAAAAAAAAGGGGGGTTTTCTTTTTCCCAAAAAGGGGTTTTTTTTCCCCCTTTTTTTAAAAATTTTAAAGGGGGTTTAAAAAGGGGGTTTTTTTGGGGGGGGTTTTAAAGGGGGTTTTAAAAAAATTTTTTTTTGGGGGGGGGGTTTTTTTTGGTTTTTTTAAAAAGGAAATTTTAAAAAATTTTTTTGGGAAATTTTTTTAAAAAAAAAAAGGGGGAAAGGAAAAAAATTTAACCCTTTTAAAAAAAAAAAGGGGAATTAAGGAAAAAAATTAAAAAAAGGGTGAAAAAAAAAAAAAAAAAGGGGGGGGAAAAAAAAATTTTTAAAAAAAAAAAAAAAAAATTTTTTGGGGTTTTTTTTTAAAAAAAAAAAATTAAAAAAAAAAAATTTTTGGGGGGGGAAAAAAAAAAAGGGGGGGTTTTTTAAAAAAAATTTTTTGGGGGTTTTAAAGGGGAAAAGGGGGGGAGTTTTTTTGGAAAAAATTTTTTGGGGGAAAAGGGAAAAAAAAAATTTTTTTTGGGGGGGTTTCCTTTTTAAAAATAAAGGGGGAAAAGGGGGGGGGGGAAGGGGGTTTTAAAAAAAGGGGGGAAAAAATTTGGAAGGGGGGTTTTTTTTTAAAAATTTTTAAAAAGGGGGGAAAGGGGGGGGGGCCCGGGAAAAATTTTAAAAAAGGGGGGGGGGGGGGTTTTTTTTTTTAAAAAAAAAAAAAAAAGGGGGGGAAAAAAAAATTTTTTTTTTTTGGGGGGAAAAAAAATTTTTGTTTTTTTTAAAAAAAAAGGTTTTTTTTCCGGGGGGGGGGGGTTTTTTTTGGGGGTTTTGGAAAAAAAAAGGGTTTAAAAAAAATTGGGGGGTTTAAGGGGGGGGTTTTTTTAAAAAGGGGGGTTTGGGGGGGGGGGGGGGGAAAAAAATTTTTAGGGGGGGGGGAAAAAATTTTTTTTTTTTAAATTTTGGGGAAAAATTAAAAAAGGGGGGGTTTTTTTTTAATTTATGGATTTAAAAAAAATGGTGGAAAAAAAAGGGGGGGAAAAAGGGGGGGGGAAAAAAAATTTTTTTTTTTTTTTTGGGGGGAAATTAGGTTATTTTTTGGGGGGGGGGGAACCCCCCAAAAGTGGGTTTTGGGGATGTGAAAACCCTTTTTTTTTTTAATGTTTTAAATTTGGGGGGAAAAAAAAGGGGGGGGTTTTGGGGGGGGGGGGGGTTAAAATTTTTGGGGAATTTTAAAATTTAAAATGGGAAAATTTACACAGTTACTTTTTGCTGATGATACTGTGGTTTTTGGGGAGATTCTAAAAGAAAAATTGCAAAGGTTTAGTGGATGGGGTTTGGGAATGTGTGTAAAAAGGGGAGAAAGTTGAAAGTGGGGAAAATAGAAAAGAGTAAGGTGAAAGAGGGTATCAAATGGTTTGTTTAAAAAAAAATTGGGTTTTCAAAATTTGGGGGGGGAGGAGTATGGAAGAAAAAGGGTTTTTTTGATTTCTTGGGGAAATTGATGTTCGGCGGATGGATTTATGAAGGGGATGAGGTTAATCTAGAATTTATTTAGGGAAAAAAGGGGAGTGGTTTTCGTTGAGGTTATGTGGAGTTAAAAAACGTTATCTATGGGGGGCAAAAAATGGAATGTATGAAAGTTAGTAGTAAACCCAAAACTTTTTTAAATCTTATAAATCTAAGGGGGGGAAAGGGGGGGGGTAGGGGTCGTCCCCGAAAGGGTTGGAGAGAGGGGGTAAAAGGGGGTTTTTTGGGCAAGGGGCTTGGGGCTTCCGCAAAACGTTTCGTGGGGCTGTTGATAGGGGTGAAAGGAGACGAATGGTACTTGGGACCCGACGATCTGTTGGAGTGCGGGGAGGGTAATATTTAGTTTAAGGGATTCAGGGAAACCGGTTATTTTCTTTATAGTCGGGTTTGGGCCCGGAAAAGGGGAAATACAATGCCTGCACTTTTTAAAAGGGGGGGTTTGGGATTTGGCAGTTTTTGGGGGGATATGTTGGTATCTTTATTTGTGTATGTTCTAAACTGTTGTATTCTGAGACCTTGCAAAAAAAGTGTTAAAGTTTTGAAAAGTGGTGAAAGGGGTTGAATGATGATGAAAGTATTTTCTTTTTGGGGATTTTCTTTCTTTTTTGGGTCACCCTGCCTTGGTGGGAGACGGCCGGCTTGTTGAAAAAAAAAAAAATGGTTGAGAAAGCCAGTATTAATATGTCAGAGGTTATATACATACTATGGTAGTGATGGTGTTTGCCATGGAGAAGGTGAAGCATAATAGTCTCGGTGGCAGGCACCAAGATGATGGACCCATCCTCTCGGCCGCATGCGAGCCGGCCCTGGAGAGGTAGAAACAAGCTAGCTGTGATCCTTGGGGGATTCTTCTCCCCTTCAAGCTGATCCAACACACCTGCCAAAAAGAATCAACATCAGTCACCAAGAACTTTTCAACACTTATGAGAATGATGAAGAGGAAAAAATACAAAATATTAAGATTCTGCTGTAGGAAATAAATAATATGATGCCAAGAAGAGTACAGAAAACACACTTTGCTGAACATTTATGTCTGTTAAGCTCTTCATGAGGCTGTGGTACGACTTGATAAAGATTTTAAGAGATCCAAACACTGTTCCAATAAAAACATCTTCATCTCATCCCAGAATCCCATGCATATGCAGATGACTGTACACTGACATTCACTTATCCAAGAGAAGAAATGCCAGCTGCTCTAAGCTACATCAATCACCAGCTAAGAGCTGTATCAGTTTGGGGAAATAGATGGCAAGTAACATTTGCACCTGAGAAAATGCAAATGATGATGGTCTCTAGGCACCATGATGGTAATTCTGGTGCAGTAGTAAGGATGAATGGGAGGGTGTTGGCACCTGGAGAAGAAGTTGATATCCTTGGGGTGAAATTTGACTCCAAACTAACCATGAAGAACTATGTTGTAAATCTTGCAAACAAGGCAGCCAGGAAGCTTACAGCACTTCGCCATATCTCGCATCTGCTTGACAGTAGGGGTTGCAAGATTCTGTACTAGGCACAAGTACGCTCACGCCTGCCCCCCCTCTCACCTGCAACTGCTTGACAGAGTAGAGAACAGAGCAAGACGTCTCATCTCTTGCCTGGATCCATCCTGGATAGATCTCTCATTTCAGCAGAGCCTTCAACATAGGAGGGATGTGGGTGGCCTTACTGTTATGTACAAGGCTAATATTGTCAAAGTACCACACTTGGATCCACTTCGAGGACAGCGTGAAACAAGCTTTTATGCCACAAGACAGGCAGCCAGCAGCGACTTCACTCTGGCTGTACCCTTCTCCAGAACATCACTCCATCTGAGATCATATATACCCAGGATGACTCGAGTATGGAGCACATTCGTACAGCATAATGATGTCAACGAGATAAAGTCAGTTGATCAAATGAAAATGCTGGCCCACAGATGGCCCACAGATGGTCCACAGCTGGCCCACAGATGGCCCACAGATGGTCCACAGCTGGCCCACAGATGGCTCCAACTTCATCTGTTCCCTACTTGTATGTCTCATAACAATAAAAATGCTTTCAAATGAGCTGATGTAGGTAACAGCTCTTAGCTTGCCAATAAAGTTAGGAATCCTTAACCTGTAAATAGCTTGTCAATAAAGCTAGGGATCCTTAACTTAACCTTGTCAAAACCTGTGTAAAAAAAAAAAAAAAAAGTTGCATATCTTTATTGATGATATGTTTTGCCTACACAGTAGGCTTCTCCAGTCAAATACAGAAGCAGCAGTAGTAATGAAATAAAGATGATATAATCAGTTCATCAACCTTGGAGAAAAAAGTATTTAAGGTGGTCAGTCCCTCAGCCTGGAGAAGAGTTTAGTACCATGGTTTGGAATAATGTTGTTTCAGTGTTCAGCTACATGGTCTGGAACAATATCATTCCAGACAATGTAGCTGAATTTTACTCCAGGCTGAGAGACTGACCATCTCAAATACTTTTTCTCCAAAGTTGATGGACTGATTACATCATCTTTATGTTATTACTACTGCTGCCTTTGTATGTGACTGAAGAAGTCTACTGTGTAGGAGAAACATTTCATCAATAAAGATACCCAACTGTTGCACTTGTGTCTTAATCCTGAACTTGTCTGTAGTTTATACCATTTTTGACAAAAACTTCTTTTGTAAAGTGTCTGTCATCCCAGACTCCACTATAATCATTTTAAATGACTAAATGTGTACTATATTAGGTATGGCAATTAATATTACTACTACACTCATAGAGAAGTGCTAAACTGTATGGGTCAAACAACACCCGATGGGTAAGGCAAGAGGGCACAAATGATAATACACACAATGAGAGGATTCTCAGCTTACCTATTGGGGGTGGGGTCATAGCTGCCCAGGCTTTTGACATAGAGTGATTGAGAGTCGCTGGGAAGATGAGAGGCTGGAAGGGGTACACTTGACTGATCTGTTGTAGCTGATTTTCTGACACATCAGCCAGCCGCCACAGCATCACCTGCACCCCAAAGATTTAATCATGATTACTGAAATTTTCGCCTAGTAATCACTCCCACCAATTCTAGATTTACTGCCAAAACCGGCTATGAAAAATATTCTTAACTGATAAAAATAAATGAGGAAAATGCTAACCTGGCCTTCGCAATCTCCTCGCAGCAGCAACTTCTCTGCCCCGCTCTCCAATGGAATCATCATAAACTGCCACGACGGTGAATTAACTAGTTGCTGAGAGGTAAAGAGACAGGGTTAATTTAGTCACTGCTTCACAAAATTCCCTAAGCTCCTGTAGAAAGCAGTTGTACAGAAGATAGTTGTGTTGCATGTTTGTAGCTGAAAATGCATGTGCCATGTTTGTAACTGCAAATGTGCATTAATAAAACTTTCATTTTATAAAGAAAAAGTTTACAGAACAAGCCTTTACTGGTACATGATTTTACTCTACTAATACATATATTAAATCAAGTCATTAGCTAGTCATTAGTTCCAGTTATTTTGTCAATATTTCTTAGGTTGGCTAACCTCCTGACACCTTAGTCCACTGCACCACCATGCTACCATGGTGGCGAGTTCTTCAGCCAGCCTCCTGGGAAGCTGGCTAACTTCCTGACACCTTAGTCTGCTGTACCACTACCATGCTACCACAGAGGTGAGATCCTCAGCCAGCCTCCTGGGAAGCTGGCTAACCTCCTGACACCTTAGTCCACTGCACCACAACCATGCTACCACAGCAGTGAGATCCTCAGCCAGCCTCCTGGGAAGCTGGCTAACCTCCTGACACCTTAGACCACTGCACCACCACCATGCTACCACAGTGGTGAGATCCTCAGCCAGCCTCCTGGGAAGCTGGCTAACCTCCTGACACCTTAGTCCACTGTACCACCACCATGCCACCATTGTGGTGCAGTGGACTAAGGCATCAGGAGGTTAACTAGGCTCCCAGGAGGCTGGCTAAATGCAGCAGGTTCAATCCCCAGCTGGTCGTAGTATTGTTATAGGCCTAGTAATGTATATACAGCAGAACCTCAGTAATAAAATTTAATTTGTTCCAGAAGGTTGTTTGTTCAAGTGCTGATCTGTTCCAGTACCAAACAACTTTTCCCAATCAATTGTCTTTTTGGTTGGTTGTTATCACTAATCTTCGTAGGCCCCATGGTGACTGTGGAAAATTACATTTACCTTGATGAATCTCATTAGATACATACAAGTAAATGGTAACAAAGATAATTATTATTTATCAAAGTTACAGAGACAAGTAGGAATTTTTAGGACACCTAGGTCGCAAAAAATGTCCCCCTTCGATACCTACCATCTCTCTCTCCACAAGTTGCTCTAAACCTATATTAATTGCAAATGAAATGTACATACACACCAGGAATTCTGGTAAAATTTAATATAAATTTGTGGACTGTATATTAAAATTAATGATTACATATACACAGTTATATAACAGAAGGAGAATTTATAATTATAACACTCGCCAATTAGTCTGGAGATTACTGTGTGTCATGTACAGAGCCCCCCTCTAACTAAATTTATGATGATAATACTAGCCAGAATTACAAACATAATTTAGATAGCTTATCTGAGGTTCCTGGAGCTGTCTTGTACATCTGTTTAATGCTCAAGTTATGCAGGAATGCACATCCAACAATTTCGGCTCCTATTTGAGAGGTTTTAAGCCCAATATAACCCCTAGAGCGACAAAAATTAGACACCTCACATTAACGTGCTTGTAACACATTCAAAAAAACAACGGCGACTCTCCCTGCTCGTCAGCGCAGGCACAGAGCTTCCCCCTCGATTCTCTTTTTCATTTACAAATTAATTTTTATTAAATACAATGTATTACACTAATTTTCATAAAAAATACACACTGGATTTTTTGGAAAATACAATATTTTCCACAGTGACATTTCTTTTTTTTTAACAAACCTGCCATATCCCACCAAGGCAGGGTGGCCAAAAAAGAAAAACAAAAGTTTCTCTTTTTAAATTTAGTAATTTATATAGGAGAAGGGGTTACTAGCCCCTTGCTCCTGGCATTTTAGTCACCTCTTCTAACACGCATGGCTTACGGAGGAAGAATTCTGTTCCACTTCCCCATGGAGATGAGAGGAAATAAACAAGAACAAGAACTAGAAAGAAAATAGCAGAAAACCCAGAGGGGAAGGGTTTTGATTTTTTTCTTTAAAAATTAATTTTTTAAATAAAATTTTAACATTTTTTCCAAAAGAAAAAAACCATTTTTTGGAAAAAAAAACAAATTTTTTCCAAAGGCTTTTTTTTTTAAAAAAACCTCCATTAAAAAGGGGGGGAACCAAAAAAGGGAAAAAAAATTTCCAAAAGGGAATTTATATAAGGGGCGGCCACCCCCTTTCCCTTTTTAGATCCAACACCGGACAAACAATTTTTTCCCCCCGGAATTTGGAAAAAATCCTTTGAAAAAAAACCCCCCCCGCTAATTTGTTTTATTATTAAATTTTTTGACTTTTTTAATTTAAAAAAGGGTAATTTCTATAAAACCCAAAAGGGAAAATAAAAATTTTTTTCCAAAAGCTTTTTAAAAACCCAAATTTTTCCAAAATATTTGGATCCAAAGGAAACTTTTAATCCATTTCCTCATTTTTAAAACCCCAAAAAGGGTTAAAACTCCCGGGGGGAATAAAACTTGGAAACCCTTTAAAATTCTAAAGCTATTTTTTTTTTTTTTTTTCCGGATTTTTAAATTTCCCCTAATTATTTTAAAATTTTAAAGGAAATTTTAAAAACCCAAAATTTTTCAATTTTGGGGGAAATTTTTTTAATAAAAAGTTTTTTTACTGTAAAAGGATTTTGAAAAACAACTTTTAATTTTTAAAATCTTTAAAAATGGGTTTAAAATTTTCAGGGTAAAAAAAAGGAACCCAACAATTTTTTAGTTGTTTTTTGGGCGGGGTTTTCCCTTTTGAAAAATAAAACTTTTGAAAATTTTAAAAAAAATTTTCAATTCCTTTTTGGGGGGGAATTTTAATAAAAAATTTTTTTCATAAATTTTTGAATACCTTTTTTTAAAATTTTGAAGGGGCTCCCAAAAAATTTTTCGGAAAAGGGGGGTCCAACCAATTTTGGGGTTGAAAAACGGGTTTGCCCTTTTTTGGGAAATAAAATTTGAGAACATAAAATTTTATAATTAATTTTTGGGTTTTTAATAAATATTTAATTTTTTGGATTTTTCCCCATTTTAACCCTTTGAAAAATTAAAAAATTAGAAAAAATAATTTTATTTTTTTTTCAAATAAAACAGGGGGAAAGTTTTTTGGGGGAAAATTTTAAATTTAACTTTAAAAAAAAAAATTGAAAAATGGAAAATAAAGAAAATTTTTTAAGAAGGGGTTAACCCTTTTTAAATTTTTCCAAAAAAAATGGTGTTATTTTCATTTTTGGGAAAAAAGACACAAAATATCATCAAAATATCTAAAACCTTTTTGGCTTAAGGGGGATTGAAATTAAGAAAACCCTTTTGTTTCAAAAATTTTCCATTTTAATGGGTTTAAATAAAACGGGTAAAAGAGGATTTTCCCTTTTTTGGGCCTTTCCCAAAACGGCTAGTGTAAAACTTATTTTTAAAATCCCAAATTTTTTGCCCCAACAATGCAAATTTTAATTAATTTTAAAGGAGGGTGGGAAAACGGGGCAAGGGGTAAATCATAGTTAATGAGTTTTGAAAAGGGAAATTTAAAATAAATACCCAACGGGAAACCTTTCTTTTAAACAAGGAGACATTTAAAAAAACTAACCATGAAAAAATTTCTTTTAAAGGGCCCGGGTTCGATTTTTTGAGCCCTATTTTTGGGCCCAAAATTTCTAATTTTAAATGTTAAAAAAAAAAAAGACTTGGTTGAAAAATTAAACCCCTTTGGGACTGCCCTTTTTAAATGAGGTAACAGGGTTTTAGTTTTAGGGTTATTTCCCCTTGTTTAGGGAAAGTTCCGGGTTGAAAAATTTATTAAGTTTTTAAATCGAAAAAAATCTTTTTAATTTATGTTTTTCCCTTTGGCCAGTTCCTATATCATTAAATTTTTAAAAATTTGCATTGTTGAGGGCAAAATTTTGTTTTTAAAATGATAAGTTTTACACTCAGAAGTTTGGTTTTTTGGCAATGGGAAATCCTTTTAACCTGTTCTTAGAAACCCTTTATACGGGAAATTTTTTTGGGGAAAAAAGGTTTTGCTTAAACAAAATTTTTTTCCTCCCAAATAGGGGTTTAAATGGTTCGGTTTTTGATGATATTTTGTGTTTATGCCCAAAAAATGTAGATATACCCCCATTTTTTTGGAAAAATTTAAATAGTTTACCCCATTCTAAAAAACTTTACTTTTGATTTTTGAAGAAAAAAAACTCTTGCCTTTTTCTGATTTTTTTTTAATTTTTTTTTTTTAAAAAGGGGAATAATAAAATTAAATTTAAAATTTTACAGAAAACCTACAAAAAACTTTTCCCTATGTCCACTATTATTCCTCCCCATCAAGTTTGGGAGTAAAAATTGGTTTTTTTTCTTCAATGTTTTTAAAGGGGCTTTACAAAATTTTGAAAATTTCCTGAGTTATAGATGGGGAAAATTTTTCCAAAATTTTTATGAAATGGGGTTTTTTGATTTAAAATCCCCCAAAAAATTGAAAATTGGAAAAATTTTTTTTTAAAGTTGTGGGAAACCATTTTTATAATCCAAAAAGGGAAACCACCCTTATTCAACTAAAAAAAAATTTGGGTTCCCCCTTTTACCTTTAAAAAACCTTGGGGGTTTAAAATATGCCTTCTTTTTTAAAGGGATTTTTAAATTAAAAAAGTTTTTTTAAAAAATCTTGATACAGAAAAAAAAAACTTTTGATTAAAAATTTCCCCCCAAAATTGCTGATGGAGGTTTTAAAAGAGATTCCTTGAAAAATTTGCAAAAAAAGTTTTTTTGGGTTTAAACGGGGTTAAAAATTCAAAATAAAAATTAAAAAAAACATAAATATTGCTTTAAAGAAGGGGACAAGTTTCCAAAATGTCTTTTTTTTCATGAAAGGATTTTAACCATAAAATTTGATTTTAAAAAAGGGTTGAGAAAGTTTTTACCCAAGAAAAGCCCATGGTCGACGGGGAAAAATTATTGAATCTTTTTTCATAAAAGCATTTTTTGAAAAAATTAGGGAATATTTCCCTTTTGGGTTTTTTAAAAATTAAAACCCCATTTAAAATTTTAATAAAATTTTGGGGGTTTAAAATTTTTAATAATACACGGGGACAAAAAAAATAGCTTGGGGAGTGATTTTTTTGCAAAGGAACCTTTTCCAAAGTTGGCTCTCCGGCTTCCGTTTTTAAAACCGTTGGGGATTAAATAGTGAGGGCGGGGCCAAACCCCTTAAATTTAGCTTCCTTGGTGTTCCCCTTTCATTGTTCCTTGATAATTTTAAAGTCTCACGAAAAGCCCCTTGGGAATTTTCTTTTCCCTTTCCCGAGGTGGTTTTTTTTCATGCTTGTCTTGTATGGTGTGTGACCTAATTTGTAAGTAGAAGTAGAAGGGTTACCTGAAATCTTGCATGTTTATGGACAGAAAAGGACACCAGAACCCTACCTTTCATGTAAAAAAAATTAAAGGGTTTTTAAATTTTCCCACTCAGTTGGAGGACGGAAAGTACCCCCTGGGTGGATGTGTTTTCTAACTACAAACCTAACATGGGACTTATTTTTTTTTTTTTTTTTTATCACACGGGCCCGTTTCCCCACCAAGGCAGGGTGGCCCGAAAAAGAAAAATTTCCCCTTTTTATTAAATCCACCCACTTTTCCTTCCCCAAGGGGGTTTTAACTACATTTTTTTAAATTTTGAAAAAAAATTAACCCCCCTTCCTTCAGAGTGCAGGCACTGTATTTTTCCCATCTCCGGACTGGGGGTCCGGCCTGCGGTTTCCCCCTAAACCCCCTTCATAAAATTTTAAACTTTGCTCACACTCCAACAGCACGTCAAGTTTTAAAAAAACCCCCAAATTTGTCTCCTTTCCCACTCCTATCAAAAACGCTTTTGGCATCCCTGGGGAAAGCCCAACCCCCTCGCACAAAAAACCTCCTTTCCCCCCTCTCTCCCCCTTTTCCTAGGCGCCCCTACCCCGCCTTCCTTCCATTTCCCAGACGTTTTACACTTTTGGGAAGTCATTCTGTTTCGCTCCATTCTCTTACATGTCCAAACCCCCTCAAAAAACCCTTTCCCTCACCCCTTGGGAACAACAGTTTTGGTAACCCGCCACCCCCTTAACTTCCAAACTAGGGAATTTCTCTTTTTTTTTCACCCCAACCCCTTTTCCCCCTAGCCCATGAAATCTCCACTCCCTTTCCACCCTTTCCCCCTCGCTGAACTTTTCACACCCAGTTTCCCAACCCCCAAATATAAGGCGTTGGAAAAAACTATACTCTTTTTTTTCCCCCTTTTTTGCCTAACCCAAGGACAAAGTTCTTTGTCTCCAAGACTCCTAAGTGCACCCCTCACTCTTTTTCCTCCCAATTTCCCAAATTTTTCCCACCTATCTTTCATAAAAACCCATCCGCTGACACGCCACTCCAAATATCTGAATAATTAACCTCCCCCATACTTTCTCCCTCCAATTGATATTCAATTTTTTCATCCCCTAATCTTTTTGTTATCCCAAAAACCCTTACTTTTTCCTGTTTTTCCCCCTTAATTTTCTTTTTTGGCACACCCTACCAAATTCATCCCCCAAATCTCTGCAACTTCTCTTCAAAATTTTTTTCCCCCAAGAGCACGTGTCATAAGCAAAGGCAGTGTGACAAAATCCCCTTTATGTGTGATTCTTTATCTTTTAAAATCCACCCTTCTTGTCAAGACCCTTGCATTTTTCTTCTCTTTTCAACCCCTCTATAAATTTATTTTTAAAAAACCCCGGTGACATCACCCCATCCTTGTCTAAGGCCCCACTTTTAAGGGAAATTTTTTCCCTCTTTCCTACATACTCTAAATTGAGGGCCCCCAATTTCCCCGGGTTAAAAAATCTTTACTGGTTTTCAGTAAAACCCCTCCTAAACCCTAAAACTTGCAACATCTGCCACATTGGGCCCCCCCATCCCCCCCTGGGTGGGCTTATTTATACAAAAAACGAGAAAAAAAAAATTTCGGAAAAAAACATGAAATTAAAATTTACAGCGAATTCTGGCAGGTCGTGTTTGTTTGGCGTTTTGCCGGGGTAAGCAGTCGAATGCCCAAACTATTTTTTTTTTTATTTAAAAAAAGCATTCGGAAAAATCAATTTTTCGAGTTTAAAGGCTCCACTGTACTGTGTGTAGTGTATATTTAAAAAAATTTGGGGTGCTAGGAGCAGAAGAAAATTTAAAGAGTCACCCTAACCTATGGTGCCATTCCCCTCAAATTTTGCCAAAACTTACCCGCATCATTCTGAGGGGGACAATGCCATACATGCCGGATTGGGCTCCCTTAACTTGTTTTTTGTGGAAAAACCGGCTTTCAACGAGCAAACCCGCGGAATACAAATTTTAAAATTGGAAATGGAGAAACAAATTTGCAAGGATCTGGATAAAATAAAGGGGAATTTAAAAAGGCTTTTCTTTTGCACTTGTTAAACTGAGTGGGAATAAAATTTTTGCTACAAAAGTTTGGGTTATAAATTTTTTTTTTTAAAAATATTGGCCATTTCCCCCTTTTGGGAGGGTGACCCGAAAAAAAAGAAAACACTTCATCCTCAATACTCCATTTACTGTTTAACCCGAGGCATGCCTCATACAGTTCCCAAAAAACTGGTCATTTTTTTTCATCATTATAAAGGCCCAAAACTGTACCTAAAAATTCTTTCACCCCCAATTTGGAAAAGGCAAAAAACATAGTTTCAATACAGCAAGAGACTTTCAAAAAAAATGTACTGTAAAATACAAACTTGTTCTGAAAAAATGTGGGGAAAGAAAAATTTTTTTGAAAGGTAAGGATATTTTGTATATTTCAGCCTCACTCAGAGTTTCCCCCTTCAGGGGACTGACTGGGGGCCAAAGCCCCCACGGGATTTCTCAACCCGTTTCACATTTCCCCCTCAAGCGATTTCTCATTCTCCAAATGATTAAACATAGAAGACATTTTTTTAAAACCCAAGGGATTTTCACAGGGTTCGGCCCCAGCATGCTGTACGCATTTTGTTTAAAAAAATATATGCAAAACTTATGGGGCTTTTTAAACATCTGCCCTTTTTCACACACTTTAAAATCACCCACACTGAGCCCTCGCATCATACAACAAACAAACATCCCCAAAAAATTTTTCTAATTTCAATATAGCTATGTAAAAAATCCCCAAATTTAAAAAAATATCCCCCAATACCTTCAACCCACACCCAAAAATTTCAGTGACAAAATATTCAATACATACAAAATTTTTTTTATTTTTACTCACTGTTTCTGAGTTTATCACAATTAGAGAGGGGAAAGAGGAATTTAGAGAATGTAAGAGAATGAGAGGGAATGAGGAGTGGAGAATGAGAAAAGAGAGGGAATGAAGTGAGAGAAGGGGAAGGGGCCAAAAGAGAACGAGAGGGAATGAAGGGGCCCAGAGAAAGAGGGGTGTGAAACCCAAAATTGGGCTAACTTCTCTTGCTTTAGGGTTCCCTACATAAATTTTTAAGAATACAAACCCCTTTTTATCTCCCAAAAAATATAGTCAGTGTTGCTACCCGGGTTTAAAACAGCAATACACAAAAAACTAATTTTTCCCTCTTTAACCTCTCCTACATGAGCCATTCAAATTGTCCAAAAATTTTAACATTCCAAATGGAATACGTACAACCATTTTCTATCTAATAAGAAAAGGTAAAATTTTTAAATTTGAAAGCCACAAACCCGGCCCCAAACAAAAGAGTTTAAAAACTGTGCTGATAGGATATGTGTTTGACAACTTTTGTTTACTATTTTTTGCCCCCCAATTTCAAGAAACTAGAATGCTAGAGTTTAAACTGAGGGTTTGGGGAGTAGTTTGTTTTAGTGGGGTTTTTGCGGGTGGGTATTATGGGTTTCTATTTTATGCTATGGTCGCCGTTTTCGGCTTTCTTTTTTTTTTTTTTTTCCTTGTTCCCTTTTTTTCCTTCCCCAAATATTTATCTCCCCAAATTTTGAAAAACTAAAAAAATAAGTAAAATTTTAAATGAATAAATTGTACATTTAGATATATATTCCAAAATTCATGGAAAATTTTTTAAATTTTATTATTTTATTTTTATTATTATTTTTTTTATTATTTTTATTATTATTTCGTAATAAGGGAGGGGAACACTTAACCCCGGGGTAGGCCACTCAGCATTGCTGAATGATCTAGAAAAATATTTTAAATGTACAGATTGGAAAAAAAAAACTAACCTTTCTAGAACAGAAAATTAGTTTCTGTTAAAAATTGGGCCCGAAAACTATCTTAGAGGAAAAGCCAATCAAAAAGAACAGGGTGGTTTTACACCCAAAACAAAAGCACTGAAGGAGAAGCTGAGTGAAAAAATCAGCATGGTTTATGGAGAGAGACAGTTGGGGGAGGGGAAAAAATGGTGGCGTGTTCGACCAACCCCAAAAATCCCCGCAAAGTTACCTGGTTTTATCCCCATGAGGTGGGCCAAGGAGAACCCTTTTAAAAAAATCAACAACCCCCCCTTGCCCTTGGATTTACTTTTTAAAACAACCCCCCCCCCCCCACCACCTTTCCCAATTCCAAGCTTTTGGATTCTTGCTTAAATTACACCACACATTGCTCAAGAAAGGCTCCTATGCCCCCAGCCCTTTCCTTGTTGGGAACATCACCACCCGGTTGTTCCCACTCATATTTCAAAATGTTTTTTTTTACCACAAAAACCAACTGCAAACAAATTTTACGGGTTTAGAAATATACCCAGTTGGGTAATCTTAAATTTGAGCCAGCTGGCCCGTGGTTAATGGGATTGCCCGCAAGTTGAAGGACTCACTTGCCATGGATTCAAACCCCACCTCTTCCCTGGTATGTGAAAGTTTGGGTACTAAGAGGAAGCATAGTACAACTTCAAACAACAGACAGCAATGAAGGAAGGACAGTCAAAAATCCAGTTGTGGTTTGATTTGCTTCTCAGTCAGTAATGTAAACCAATGCAAGCTAGAAAATGATGAGTTACTACAGACATACCTTGATATACGGAGGTACTGTATTATCCCATCTAAGCAAGATGAATGCAGGCAACACATGCAACCAAACTTACCCACATATCTCCCACCCTCCACGGATTAAAATAAGATCCTTCAGTTAAGAGCCGGAGGATCTAGCACTGAGTTACAAACCACCTTCTTGCAACCAAGGTTGTAATTCTTAGGTAAAAGGACACAAGTACAACTAATGTGACATTTTATTGTGGCAACGTTTTACTCCAGGAGCTTTATCAAGCTGCTGGAGAGTGAAACATTGGCACAATAAAATGTCACATTAGTTGCACTTGTGTCCTTTTACCTAACATATTGTCAGTAATTGTACCAACATTAATACATGCCATTATTCTTGCAACCAAGACCATTATTCTTGCAACCAAGACCATTATTCTTGCAAATAAAGCAAGATATAACCAAAACAACTGTCTGCACAACACACCTTTCATAAAAGTGAAGGTAAGATATAATCAACAGTTGCCTCAGCCAAGTCACTCATTCCAACACTAATCCAAGGAACATTTCATCTTGTTGTGCATAAATGGTTGAGAAAACCAAATAAGTTGAAGAATTAGACACTTTTGCGGTATTTGGGAAATTTTACTGTGAGAATGTTTCACCAACTAGTGGCTTCGTCAGTTTGGTACAGAGAAGAATGGTGGAGGAGTGTGAGGTTATTAGTCTCTCAGCCTGGAGGTGATGTGTTCAGTACCAAAAAATATCACATTTTGAAAAACTATACAGTAAGTCACTGAAGAAATGTCCGCTGCAACAGCACTCAATCTGCCGAAAAAACTGGCATTCGTACGTTAAGATTCTAATCATCACTGGGAATACAGAACTCACAACTCATAAAGTTTATAATACACCTCACAACCAGCACCACTAAGCACCAACCACACCTCACAACCAGCACCACTAAGCACCAACCACACCTCACAACCAACACCACTAAGCACCGACCACACCTCACAACCAGCACCACTAAGCACCAACCACATCTCAAACCGGCACCACTAAGCACCAACCACACTCACAACTAGCACCACTAAGCACCAACCACACCTCACAACTAGCACCACTAAGCACCAACCACACCTCACAACCAGCACCACTAAGCACCGACCACACCTCACAACCAGCATCACTAAGCACCAACCATACCTCACAACTAGCACCACTAAGCACCAACCAAAACCTCACAACCAGCACCATTTAAAGACCGACCACACCTCAAAACCAGCACCACAAGCACCAACCACAACCCAAACCAGAAACCACTAAGTACCGACCACACCTCACAACCAGCACCACAAAGCACCAACCAGGATGTAAAAAAAACATTAAGTTTTTTTAAACAATGAAAATTTAAAAAAAAAAAACCTTTTTTTTAAATCGGGGAAAGGGCTAAAACCCGTGCATGCCCATACAGGGGCCGGGGATGAGGCAAAAATAACATTCAAAAAAGAAGTATAAACCCCAGTTCCATGGAATCAAGAGCCCCCCCCCAATATAAATTTAAATATTGCATATCTTGAAATCTAAAAATTTTCAGCAAATTAAACCCTTAAATTGCCCAAATTTGTAACCCTACTTTTACATGCATAGCGTTTCTGCCTTTATTTTTTTACATTTAAAAGGGCATGAAAAAAAAAACTGTGGGGAGTACTTTTCAAACCCACTAGCTGTGAACATGATTACTTTTAAGAACACTATGATGGGGAACGTAGTTTTAACGTTCAAACACTACCAAATTTTGGAACGTGATCACTTTTGGGCATTTTAAAGGGGTTTTAAATCAATTCCTGTGACATATGCTAAAATACACAAAAAAAAAATTTTATGCACATAAAGGGTTTTTGTGTATACACGTCTCAAAACTTTTAAAATTTTTAATGACAGAAGCAGATCAAAGATATCCAAGCCAAGAAAAAAAAAAAAAAAAATTTGCAAAGCAAGTAAAACAGTCCAAATTTTTTTGAAAAAAAATTATTTTAAACAGAGTCAATGCTTTCAAGTGCAAAAGGGAAAGGGGGCCAAATGATGCTGACCACTTAAAGGATGTGGAAAACAAATCCCACACACACACACACAGGACACCCTTTATTGTTTTTTTCCCCCCGGGAAAAATCCAATCACCCCCACATAATAAAAGTGATCATGTTGTGAAGTATGAAGGTCCCAGGACCAAAATATTTTCATAAAAAGTGTCCTTTGAAGGCTTTAAATTTTTAGTTTCCCTTGGAGGGGCTGCTACTGAATAACTTTTCTAAGTCATTGTAAAAAAAAAAACGGGTTTTAAAATGTTGGTGTTTTTTTAAAAACT